CGTAGTCGACCGCGGTTCACGTCCCGGACCCGGTGGCTTAAACTCACACCGGGCGCGTGTGCGTGTGTGCCCAAGATCCCGAGAGGAGAATGGAGAAGAAGGGATTGTGGCGTGGCCATGTCCTCTGGGGGGTGATTTCTCACTTTCTGTCTCTCTCTACTTGGCGAGCACATGCACCCTATAGCAAAAACCTCTATTAAAAAAAAAAAAAAAGAAAAAGAAAGGAATCATTGGTGTTTTGTGCAGAACTCATTTCCAGTTAACTTGGAAACCTAAGTGACATACAGTTTTCTAGCAAAATACAGCTTATGAGTGTTGGCCGTTTCCCTCGCTCCCAGTTGGGATAGGAAGTCTAAACAAAACAACAGCCATAGAAAGAAAGAAGCTTACAAAAGAATCTCACGGAGAATAGTGCTCGGGTCAGATGGTTTAACAGACAGATACTGGGATTCCTTTAGCATCAGTAGGCCAGTGTTGCTTCCTTGGTTCAGGAGTGCTTAATGGCTACCCTCATAATCTACACTCGCCATTACTACTCAGTTTTCAGTAATGACCTTTAGTTGCTTTTGTTAGTAATTGAGCTATATAAAATATGAGTTCTGCTTAATCTTTTGGTTTCTCCTACAAACAAATCAATAATACAAGTCTGTTATCCAGGTGACCTTGAAGAACTCCAAGGTAAATCTCCAAAGAGGAAAGAAGAGTTTAGGCTCATGAGGGGATTTCACTTGGTGCTGTCCTTGAAGAGAGGGGGAGGGACGTGTACAAACAGCAAGAAAGAAAGACATTCTGACCATGACCCTGGCTTCTCCCCTTGATACTGACAAGAACCAGGTCGGGTGGCATCCTGACTGGCATCCTGACTGGCACTCCTAAGACCATACACAGCAAGCCAAGCTTGCTCCTGACCTATGAACTGGGAGAAGATAAGTGAAAGCTGTGTTACGCTGCTGGTTTTGCAGTAATCTGTGACCTTGGAGGAGCAGACTTATTGAAAGAATTTTAACAATAACTAAAGTAGCAAAATGAAAGTTTCAGGTTCCTCCTGAAAACTCGTCATTTTCCTCAATTCGGACCAACCTTGAAGAGCCACCATGCTCCAGGGCCTCTGCTCCAACCCTGCTGAAGGGTCTACATGCTCTTTTGAAGAGTGAGGGAAAGCAATAAGAGAACTTAATACCAGGGGGCAACATGATTAGGTTCAAGACTTGGCTGATGGAATAGATCTGTGTTGTGCTGGTAACACACTGCTTGTGGAGACCTGGATCCCACATAGAGACTGAGGTTTGAATCCCTAGTCTGATTGACCTAAATATGTCAGAGGTTTTTGCTATTGGAAGTGTGCACTTGCTGGAAAGACAGAGAAACAGAAAGCAAGAAATCACCCTCCAGGGGGATGGCCACACTACAATCCCTTCTCCTCCATTCTCCCCTCTGGATCTTGGGCACACACACACACACACACACACACACATGCATCCAGCATGAGTTAAAGCCACTGGGTCTGAGATTCAAACCATGGTCCACTAGGTGGGAGTCCAGCAAAGTAACCATTATGCCATCTGCTGTCCCTTTTCAGGCACTTTTATTCAAGATCTCCTGGGTAATTAAAGTAGAAAGAAAATAAATATGAATGTGTGCATGTGTGTGTACGTGTGTTGGAGCATATACTGCTGATATTATTTTTAAAATGTATTCATTTATTTTTTAATTTGACCAGAGAGCAAGAGACACAAGGAGAGAGAGAGAGAGGAAAGCAAGAAAGCAAGCCGCCAGATCTGGGTTTTGAACTGTGGTCAGCCATATGGGTGTGGTTAAGGCTAACCACCACGCCACCTGCTGGTCCCCCTGCTGATGTTATTTATTAATTAAAAAAATTATTTATTCAATTTTATTGATTCATCCACTTATTTTAATTTGACCAGAAAGAAACACACACAGCGAGACAGAGAGAGGGAAAGTGAGAAAGCAAGCCACCAGGTTCGTGACTTGTACCGTGGTTGGCCATGTGGGAGTGTCCAGTACCTTAACCACCACGCCACCTGCTGGTCCCCTATTTATTAAATTTTTTTTTTGGAAAAAGATTTTTGCATGGGGCATGTGCGCTACCTGGAGATATAGAGACAGATAGTAAGAAATCACCCCCAGGGAGTATAGTCACAGACAGATAGTGAGAAATCACCCCCCAGGGAGTATAGTCAGCCTGAAATCCCTTATCCTCCATTCTCTTCTTAGGATTTCGGCCATGCATGCATGCACACGTGCCCCATGTGAGTTTTAAGCCACTGTGTTCAGAACTTAAACCATGGTAGACTACATGGGAGCCCAGTGATAATAACCATTACACCATCTGCTGATCCCTGTTGATGTTATTTAAAAAAAAAAAAAAACGGTGGAGTCCAGAGGGTGGTAGAGCAGTAGCACAAGTAGACCAGAAAAGAAGGTCCCTGGTGCACATCCCAGGGCCTCCCTGACATCAGGCACAAATGCCAGTGCCCATGACCCAGGCTGGCTGAGGCTGCAGGAGGAAAAGAGCATGGAGACCCTGTGTGTGTGTGTGTGTGGGGGGGGACTGTCTCTCTGTTTTCTCTCTTTCTCATGAAGAAATAAAGAAATGGAAAATACAAAAGGCACCATGTGGTGACAGACTCTTCCTGCATTCCTTTCCCCATCCCACCTCCTTCCCCAGCTCAGGGAGAGGGAGGAGCCTGACCAGAGTGATGAACTCAGGCTCTGTCCTGTGATGGAGAGGGGCTCCTAGGGGGATTTTCCTTCTGACAGGAACCATCACAAATGCACGTGCCTCACAGAGCTGGTTCTGTGACGCATTCTCTTCTGCATCATTCGCAACTTCTCATTGCTCATGGAGCTACATCCCAACACACCCCAACCTAGATTCCTCATCTGGTCAACTCACAGGAGGTCTGTCTGGGCCCTTCCCACCACTGGGTGACTCTCCCCACGTGTAATCCTCTCCCTCCGCCTCCCCTCGCACTCTCCACACCTGCTCAGTGCTTCTCACCTTTGTCTCCTCCTACAAGGTCTCTGGCCCCACTCTGCTGCAACCTCTCTGTTTCAACCCCTGTCCCTTCTGGCGTTGTCCCCCAAGTCCATGTATTTCTGCCTCTTTCTGTCCCCACAGCGCCTTCCCGGGTACATTCCCTCTTCCTGTTGCATCCCTTTCCTGGACTCTGGGTCCTCCACTTGCCAAGTTCCCTCCCGCTTCCATTTCTCGCTCTGTCTCCTGTGTCCTTTGCTCCCTTCTCTCTCCCGGTGCGGGACTTGTGAAGGTCTTTAACTTTTTTGGTTAGATTTATCCCTAAGTATCTTACACTTTTTGTGGCTATGGTAAATGGAACAACTTTTTCAGTTCTACCTCAGTCTGCCTGTTGTTTATATACAGAAATGCTATAGATTTCTGGATATTAATTTTGTATCCTGAAACTTTACTGTATTCATGAATAAGTGCTGGCGAGGGTGTGGTGAAAAGGGAACTCTCTCACACTGCTGGTGGGAATGTAAATTGGTCCAACCACTGTGGAGAACAATTTGGAGATCCCTCAAAAATCTACAAATAGAACTACCATATGATCCAGCAATCCCACTCCTTGGTGTCTACCCAAAGGACAGAAGAATACTTTATCAGAAAAGTGCTTGCACATCGATGTTTATTGCGGCACTTTTCACGATTGCCAAGTCATGGGAGCAACCCAAATGCCCACGAACTGATGAATGGTTAGAAAAACTGTGGCACATATATTCAATGGAATACCATTCATCCATAAAAAACAACAAAATACTGGCTTTTGACAGGAAGTGGATGAATGTGGAGGACTTACTGCTGAGTGAAGCAAGCCATGCTATGAAGGAGAGGCATTGTATGTCCCCACTTAATATATACCGAGTGTCTGCACTCTATGACTGAAACTAATTGTCTAAAGGATATAGAAACACAGTATATAGATGTAAATACCAGATATAGTGTGTGTGAAAGAGGAGGGTCTGAGGAAGGACATTTTGGGGAGAGACAGGGAGAAAAAGCATTAATGGCACAAAGAGGTGTGGTATTATCTGTTAAAGATGTTTCGTGGTTTTATTGACGGTGCTGGGGAGAGGTGTTCACCTGCTGAAATATCCATTTTGTAAGATAAATAATAATGTGATTGAATGTATAGAAGAAAATGAAATGAAAAAATAAAAAAATAATAAATAAATAAATTTAAAAAAGAAAAAAAAGAAAAGGATGAGAACGACTTAAGGTCAACTTGTACTGAATGCATTATACCTGTTGAAACATAAAATATAGCACGATTCGGAGAACATAAAATAAAGGAGATAATGACGATGAAAATGGAAGAATCCCGGGCGCGAGCAGCGAGCTCTGGCTGTGGAGCTGGTGTTGAAGGCAGTGCCTGAGCCCCTCTGGCTCTGCACCTGCGGGTGTGGCTGGCGCTAGAGCTGCCAGCTCTGGTTGCGGTGTCTGTGCTGGGCTAGAGCTGGCCTTCCCTGTGGCAGTGGTGCTGGGGCCGGGTCTAGAACTGCCTCTTGTCCTGGTGCTGATTCCAACTCGGAGCAAGAACTGGCGACAGAGGTGGTTGGAGCTGGGAGGCCCGGAGAGTTGTACCTCCCCTCCAAGCTGGAGCAAGACCTTGGGATAGAGGAGGCTTAGACTCTGCAGCCCCCCGCCCCTGGCTGTGGGTGAGACACTGTCCGGCCTGACAGGCCATGACCTCCAGGGCAGGGCTGCCGTCTGGGGTCCCCATTCCATCCCAGGGGCCGCACACAAGAGAGAGGTGTGGTGGCACTGGATGCACGGACGACGTAGGACGGGAGATGGATGAAGGAACCCAAGGCTTCAGGGTTGACCTCCCCTGAACGAGGACTGCCTGGTCAGGAGGTGAATATTCCGTGATTTTGATCCACGTGGCCAAACGGCCTCCATTCCATGGCGACTCATATTCCCGTCAACAATCAAGGATATTTCCTATTTCTACACAGTCTCAGAGCCTATTTCCAAAACTTTTCAGAACTTTCTCCTATTCCAAAAGAGACTTCCATATTCAAATGTACCTCACACTGTTTCCATTCCTTTCTGCGTGTGAAGTGTCTGACCCTGTCCTCCCCCCACCCCCACCACGCGGTCACCCTTTTCTTGGTGGTTTCTGAGAGCTCTCTGGCGCTGCAGAGCCCAGTGTTTTTCCTGAAACACGAATGCGGAGTCTTTGTTCCGAGCTTAGCATCTCTAACTGCTGAAGGGGTGGAGCTTGCTCCGTCTCCCGTAGTATCACTATGTCCAGTCATATATTACGATTGATCCATCCATTCCTATGGAACGCCACGGCAGATCTCACTAGGTGGACACACAGGCGCTGATTTCAAACTTCAGTAGAAACACTTGTACAAAACTGCTTAGAAGAACCCTGAAGAATAAACTTGGAGGACTTTGCCTTTGAGTTACTCGGACTTAGTACATGGGTGCAGTCATGGAGGCAGCGAGGCCGTCATGCACAGACACACGTGGGAGCCCTAGGAAAAAGCAGATCCACACCAGACTCACACGCACCAACACTCAGGTATCCTCTGAGTGCAACGAGGAAGCCAGACCTGGAAGACGACACCCGAGGATGGGGCCGCATGCTAGTCCATCAGTGTGTGCACCCCACTGACTGAAGGCAAGACAGACCTGCAGGACGATGGCATCTGGTGCAGGAACATGTTGGACAGAACGCCACAGCCTCTCAGGGTAAAAACACTCAGCGCAGCAGGAGCAGGAAGAAACCCCATGCAGGAAAGTTCATTCAGAAAAAGCTCTGCTGGGACCAGCAGTTAGCGTAATGGCTATGTCACTAGACTCCTATGTAGTCGACCACGGTTCACGTCCCGGACCCAGTGGCTTAAAACTCACACAGGGCACGTGTGCGTGCATGCCCAAGATCCCAAGAGGAGAATGGAGAAGAGATTGTGGCATGGCCACAATCACCCCCAGGGGTGATTTCTCGCTTTCTGTCTCTCTGTCTCTATCTGTCTGGTGAGCGCACGCACCCTATAGCGAAAACCTCTAAAAAAAAAAAAAGAAAAGAAAAGAAAAAAGAAAAAGCTCTGCTCACATTAAACTCGGTGGTGAGAGACAAAGCTTGTCCTGAAGGCCAGGGACAAGGTAAAGAGGTGGCTCTTGCCACTCTGTTCAACAGAGGGGTGAGCTCACAGCCAGGTCGATTGGGCCAGAACAAGAAACAGAAAGCATCCACCTTTGAAGGAGAAAGGACAATCTCTGCTCACAGATGACATGGTCTTCTGTGAAACAAACCCTGAACACGACAAAACGTGTTAGAAATACAACGAATTTGGGGCCGGCAGGTGGCATGGTGGATAAGGGCGCTGGACTCCCACATGGCTGACCACGGTTCAAGTCTTGGAGCTGGTGGCTTGCTTTCTCACGTTCCCTCTCTCTCTCTCTCTCTCTCTCTCTGTGTGTGTGTGTCTGGTCAAATTAAAAAATAAAATGAATGAATAAAATTAAATAAATAATTCTTAAAAAAATAAGAAAAAGAAAGATATACAACGAGTTTAGCCGAGGACAAAAAAGCAAGACTCAAATATCAGTTGCCTTTCTGTCCACTAACCATCCACAATTCCCAAGGACAGCTGGGAAAGCAATCTCAGACACAATGGCACCCAAGAGGACAATATACTTAGCAATAAATCTACTCAAGGTGGGGACAGACTCGGTCACTGAGAACTGTAAAGTATTAGGGAAAGGAGTGAAAGAAGACACAACCAATGGGAAATGCTCCTGTCTTCACGGACTGGAGGACTTAATGCTATTGGGCGTCTGTGGTTTTTGCAGTGACCCACACGGTCACTGTGATCTCTGTCTCAACCTCAATGGCTTTGTTTGCAGAATCAGAAAATCCAGGGTCAGCAGGTGGCATGGTGGGTAAGGCGCTGGACTCGCACATGCCAACTACTCTTCAAGTATCAGACCTGGTGGCGCGTTAATCATACTGGGCACATGTGATTAACAAAACCCCCCGAAATTCCGAGAGCGGAGTAGAGAAGGGATTGTAGTGTGGCCATCCCCTCTAGGGACGATTTCTCTCTTTCTTTCTCTGTCATTTTCATCTCTGTGTTTCTCTGGCAAATATTTGCACCCATGGGGGGGCACTAAGACAGAAAAAACCAAAGAATCCAGCTCCTCCTCTGCAAAGTGAGCTGACGATGGCTCTGCTCGCACTATCACGGAAGGAGCTCGTCCCCACTCTCTGACAGCACGAACGCAAAGGAAGACGGTGCTAGTGCTCGTTTCTGCTGTCCTTTGGCTTGTGGCTGAGGGGGATGAGGGGTCATGTCCTGGGCAGAGGGAGAAGGATGAGAAAACGCCCAGAGACATTCCCAGGTCAGAGATAGGGGAACAGGTCAGACCTGGCGCGCCTCCTGCTTCTTCCCCGCCTCCATCTGTGCGCACGCCCAGCTGCGCACACCCTCTGAGCACAGCGCTGAGCGGGGAGGGCAGTGCCAGGGCCGTGCAGCCGCTGAACGCCAACGTCGGCCTCATTCAGCTCGTGCACACGGTTGCAGAAACCGGGATGTTAGGGGAGGCAGGTGCGCCGTGGTGGGGTTAGGGTCGCTCCTCTCTTCCTCACTGCACCTGTTCATGTTCTAAACACCTATGAATGTGTCACTCGGTCAGAACACGAGACCCAGCTCCTTGTGACCCGGGGGCCCAAGTGGCAGGTCTCCTAATCCTGAAGGGGTCAGTGCCCTACCCCAGGCCCTGGGAGTGATACTGCCCACAGCCGCGTCCCTGGAGACCGCAGTGATCTCAGAACGCAGGTGGTGAGCTCGCCTTCCCCTTCACAGAGCCC